AGAACTTCGTGGCCACTCCGTCACTACCACACCTGAAGGCTATGTTGGTTAACGCGGAGGTGAACGACCACGCGGTGGCATTCGGCGACTGCAGTGGGGCATTCTACCAGGCGCCCCTGACGGAGGACAGGATCTTCTCGGAACCACCACCTGAAGCAGGAGTACCAGCAGGTTACGTATGGGAAGCGCTGTGCGCGTTCCCAGGACTCAGAGGGGCATCCAAGGCATGGGAGGATCACAGCGCAGTGGCGATGAAGCAGATGGGTCTTGATCGAGGGCGCTACGAGGGCTGCATCTTCATGAGGACCCAAGACAAGGTCAAGGCATCACGACATACTGTCGTGGCAGGGCCCCAGGAGTCAGTAGACCAACTACTGGCGGAAATTGGCGAGAAGCTTAGGATCTCGGACTTTCGGACTCCCGGACGTGGTTCAGCTGTACAACACAGGCGACCAGGGCTCATTCCTGAGCATGCAGGTCCGCAAGATCGAGGGCGGCTATACCATCAAGGGTAAGATGTCGCTGATCGAGGACGTGCTGCTGGAGCTCGGTTTGCAGACAGCGAAACCCTCAGTCGTCCTGGAGACGAAGAACGAGGTTAAGCAGAAGGACGATGACGAGTTCCTGGACGCAGCAGACCACGGCTGGAACAGGATGCGCGTGGGGAAATTACTACGACTGTCAAGCCACAGTGCTGACATACAGTACGGAGTTGGAGTGCTTAGCCGTGGCATGGCGGCACCTCAGAGAGACAAGCGTAGGTTGAAGAAGATGGCAAGGTAACTGGCAGGGACCAATGGCGTGGAGTTGGTACTGAAACCAGACAGACTGACCAAACATATCGTGTATCGTACAGTGCCGTACGGATGCAGACTGGGCAAACAACAAGGACGACAGGATCTCAGTCAGCGGCGTTGTGCTGAAGGACTACGGGTGCACTGCGTTGTCGCGGGCACGGCGTCAGGGCGGCGTGGCCCTGAGCTCCGCGGAAAAGGAGCCGTACGCATTAGGATCCGGAGCAGCCGAGGCGCTCGGACTGGCATCGCTGATGAGCGAGTGGAGCGAGAACGTGACGCCTGTCCTAGCAAGCGACAGCAGCGCACTGCACATCGTAAAGAAGAGAGGACCAGATAAGATGAAGCAAGCACATCGAGATCAGGTTCTTGGCTTTGCGACAATGGTGCGAACAGAAGCGCCTGGAATTCGAAAAGTTCCACACGGAAAACAACGAAGCAGACATGCTGACGAAGCCGATGACCCAGGAGAAGCTCGTGAAGTTCTCCCGCAGCGTAGGCTTAGCTGGCGGACCATTCCGCCCACTTAGCGACGACGAACTAGCCTAGGCGGTTCGGACAGTCCGTAACAAGACGAGAGGCTTGAGCCAGCAGAGTGGCTAGGCAACACCACTCGGGATATCGATGAACATCGAATCCAAAACAAATTTAGATAAGAAAGCAAACCAGCCAAGTGTTCGGAACAGGGTGACCCAGGACACTTCCAGAAATGTGCTCAAGAAGCCTACATTACATCAGAGTTCTATGTGCCCCAGCCCTGGGCGGTGCTGACAGCAGCAGACACAAGACTGAAGATGAGGCCAACCTGCCTTACAGTACCCAACCCGATTTTCCAGACACTCCCTCACGATCCCTGGGCCTACAGGCCTGGCGGAATCGAGGGCGTGTTGAGGTAATGTGTATCAGGGTAGAGGCATGCATGGCCGAGGGCGGATGCATTGCAGGAGCCTGTGAATTGGGCAGCGTAGCAGGTAAGCCAGTGAGACTGGGCGGTACAGCTTTGAGACCTTTACTGTGTAACTGCGTGCGCACTCTGCAGCCTCTTTGGCACGAGAAGCACAACTTTTGTAAATTACGCTGCGTTCGCGCCCCAGAGGCTACGATCCCTAGCAAATTACGCGATGCTCGCGCCCCGAAGCCACGATTGTCAACAAGTTCGCAAGAATTCGAGAGATGTTTTTCAGTTTTGCTGTGCAAGCCGTAACGTACGATATTGGCCCTCGCGTGAAATCCTGACATTGCTCCATGACAGTACCCCTGCATCCCAACTTAGCTCTGGTATGCCAAATTCTAAAAGAGAGGGGGCCGGCGGCAGTGGGCGAAGCCCTTACGGATAAATTCGGGTGAGGATAATACGAGAATCTCTGAGATCTGGCGGCTCTGCAGGATGTATCGGGCGCCGCGGCCTTCTCAGAGCGTTCCAGAACGCATATCCATCACCCACCCTCACCCTCCTCCAGAACTACGTCGCAAAACGGCGCGCGCATGATGCTCGATGCAAGCCTCTCGACTACTCTCCCCCATCCTCCGTGACCTGAGGGCCCTGACCGACCGCCGCGATACTCATACCTCTTGATCCCCGAACCTCGACCCTCGACCTGAATCTCGAGCCTCGAACCTCGAACCTCAAACCTCTTGATCCCCGAACCTCGAACCCCGAAACCTCGAATGAACCTCGACCCTCGACCTGAATCCCGAGCCTCGAACCTCCGGGTACCCGAATCCTCCCGACCCTCGACCCTCGACCCTCGACCCGCGCTCCACCGCCCTCGAGCCACCTCGGCCGTGGACCCTCGACCCCTCGGGGCCCCCGCTTCCTCGCGGGAGGCCTCCAGCGAGCCGAGCCCGCAGGCGGCCTCGGGGACCGAGGCTCCAGCATCGAGGGGCGGGGCCCCAAGATGCCCCGTGTTTTCCCATCTTTTCCGGGTTTCTGTCTTCCCGCCCAAGTCCCATATTTTTCCATATCTTCCTGGGGATCGACGATTCATTGTGTCTGTGTGTTTTTTCTCCTCCTGAATCGAGGGGCGAGGCTCGGGAGGTTCGGGGGCTGGGAGGTTCTCACCGAGATGCGCGCACGAGTGTCAAGGGATCGGTGGCTCAGCCTGGCCCGCGCCTTGGCCTTGGCTGAGTGGCCTCGCTGTCTACCTTGGACAAGATCATCTAAGTTAGACTTGCCTGCTTGGCGCGTGATCTCGTCGCAGGGCTTGGCTGGGCTCTTGATCACCCCACCACTATCGACCCGCGCTGGAGGCAAGCCCAACCCTTGACGTGTTCGAACAACTGCGCCTGGTGGGTGCTGTGCAGTGTGGGCGGCCCAGCCGGGGGGTCTGAACGGGATGACCTCGAGAAAATCGATCAAGAAGGAGAAATAGATGCAAATCCTCCCCAAATCTACCCCTGGACCCCCGGGGTCCATCTGGTGCAACTTTCACCCCGCGTCTGCTTTTGACGGCGGGGGGGCCCGAAAACGGCCCCCGGAGGCCGGAAAGGGCAAAACACCTTCCCGAGAAGGAACATGAGGAGGAGGAGGAGGAGGAGGAGGAGGAGGAGGAGGAGGAGGAGGAGGAGGAGAGGAGGAGGACGAGTGGCTCCCAGGTGGCCTGGGGCCCGCTCTGGAAGAGAGGCCGGATGCGGTCCACCCAGGCCCGCGGCCTGCATGCGTCCCCAGAGGGTGCCTCCTCAGGCGTGAGCCCCCGAGTCTCTGCGGGCAGGCCTGAGCTGGATCGAAGCGCGAAATCGGATCGGATTGGAGACGCATCGAATCGCCAGAGAATCGTCCCGAATCGAATCGGAATCGGATCGCCGCGCTGGGCTTTGGCTGGCCCCGGCCGAGGTCGGTGAATCGAGCCGCATCGAGTCGCAGCGGAATCGCGGCTCCAGCTGGCGAATCGAATCGCACCGAATCGGATCGCAGGCGGCCCTGTCCAGCGCCCGAAATTGGAGACGCTTCCACTCCTGGCCCATGCGCGAGAGGGGAGAGAGAAGAAGAGAGAGAGAGAGAGAGAGAGCGCCTCCAGCGTCCGAAGACAAAACGCCTGCCTCGAGGCTGAGGGGCAACGATCGGCGGGCAGAGGCATAGGGGGGGGATCCATCGACCTCGAATGGCCGATACTGCGCCCGCAGGCCGAGCCATTCATCGTCTGTACATCGTCGATGCATCGCCCTGGCCTGATGTCAACGATGCATCGTCCATGCATCGTCGATGTATCAACCATTCGAGGTAGATGCATCCCCCCTCCCTGTGCCCACCTCCCTTACCCATCGATCGGAAGATGTGGGTACAAACATCAAGCAGGAAGGCGCTGAACGTAGACTGGGCTTCTGCCCACCCCCTGAAGAGGAGGGAAGAGGGAAGACCACTTGACTCTCGAAGTAGGAAGGCGCCAAAAATGTATTGGGATCTAGGCATCCCCATCTACGTATCTACTTTCAACGACCGATGGGTACGGTAGGTTCGTCCTGTGTCGGCGCGCGCAAAAGTTTTCGACACTGCGTCAATCGTTCAATCTTGAATCGATGATCGCGGCCCCGATCGTTCAAGGTTGAATTCTGTCAGGTCCAATGGCGTTACCGCGTCCCTCGATGCATCCGCGTCGCAGCACTCAACGTTGAACGCCTTCGCCAGCGTCGCCGGCGCGTAAACGCCGCATGCACCCTCTGCATCGTTGCCCCCGAGAGGCCTCGTGGCGGCGGCCTCCCGCTAATTACCCAGACCCCGACGTCGTGATTTTTTCGCAGCGTCGACGCCCAAAGGTCTGGACCCCCCCTTCCCCCAAGACCGGCTTTTCATCCTGCGCAATTTTGACGGTCCCGAGGCCCAGTAAGGGCCCCTGGAGGCCAAGAATAGCGAAAAACTGTCCGTCGTGATTTTTTCACAACGTCACCACCCAACAGTCTGGACCCCTTCCCCCAAGACCGGCTATTCATCCTGCGTCTTTTTTTAACGGTCCCGAGGCCCAGTCCAGTGGACGCCAGTCCACAAGAATCCTTCCACAAGAAACCCAACCCTGAGACACCAATACGTCCATTGTTCTTGGGCGTGGGAACGTCACGCTTTTTCCATAGCAAAGCCCTCGAAGCTCAAGAAATCCAGGGGACCCTGGAGGCAAGCAGGGTGTTTCTTGGCATGGGTCTCCGCTGTAGCGAACAACTTCCCGTCGTGATTTTGTTCGCAGCGCCAGGGGGTCTGGCCCGCCCGCGTCGGGCCTCGGCGGTGACGGGGGCCGCCTGCGTCAGCAGCGGCTGCACCTCGGGGCGGGCGAGGGGGGAGGGGCGGCGAGGGGGGGGGGAGGGAGCGAGCGAGGCGGCGAGGGGGAGGAGGAGGGGGGCGACGGGGGGAGCACGGCGCCGAGGAAGGAGAGGGGAGGAGAGGGGAGGAGATAGGAGGGAACAAGAAGAGAGAGGATGAGGAGGAGGAGGAGGAGGAGGAGGAGGAGGAGGAGGAGGAGGAGGAGGCGGAGGCGGAGGAGGAGGAGGAGGAGGAGGAGGAGGAGGAGGAGGAGGAGGTTGAGGAGGAGGTTGAGGAGGAGGAGGAGGAGGAGGAGGAGGAGGAGGAGGAAGAGGATTCTAGCGATGCGCAACGGGCGCGCCCGTCTCACCTTGGGGCCTGGTCTGGCGCACAGAACCTCTCCAAGCCCTCGCCACAGGTCACTCTTGCGAAGGCTCACTCTTATATGCGTAGCCGACCGCCGCATGGCTCGGGCTATTAGCTGGGCATCTGGCCGCCGATCGGGACGATCAAGGTATCCCCCCCCCGAACGCTCTCGGCGAGGCTCCGCTGCTGGAAAACGGCCCGGCGCTGGAAAATCGCTGAGAACCCACGCAGACGCTTAGCCGCCCGCCGGCCAGACATGGGATCGGGGGTAAAAAATAGGTCCCCGCACCTGTTCTGGGCCGCGCTCTGGCCAGCACTTCGACGGGAATGCGGCCGTGGCGACAAGAAGGTGCCGAGAGGCCCAGACGTACAGGGCGCACGGCATCCCAAAGCATCGGCGCTCGAAGCCCGGTCCTGGGAGTTCGGAAGTTCTGTTGCATCTTCTGTCCCAAAAATTGGTGTCTTTTTGGGGGCCCGACGCGGGCTGGATGCGGACTCGACGCGGATTTGGCGTGGATTCGACGCGGATTCGACGCGGATTCGACACGGATCCGACGCGTCCGACATGGATTCGACACGCACTCGACGCGGACAGGGCCGCGACGGGACAGACGAGGTCCCCCGAGGATGCAACGTAACGGAAGCAGACTCGCACGTACCTGCCGTGCGCGCGCCGCCGATCGGGCGCGCTCCGTCCCTCTCAAAGGGGGCGTCCGAGAGGAGGGCGCCCGAGAGGGGCGCTCGCAGATCGTGGCGCGAGGCGCGCGCACGGCCCACGGGGGGGGGGGGCCGAAGGAAACGCACTGAAGCACGAAGGGGGGCCAGGAAACCCGAGATGCAGTGGCCATCGCTCGGACGTCCATTCCCTGTGTTTTTTTCGGTTTCGTGCGTGGTTTTTTCGCCAAATGATCAAGGATGCTCCTCGATGGTCCTCGCCGAAAAAGTACACACGTCCGAGCGATGCCAGGCCAAGGGGGGGGGGCCGAGGAACGCACTGAAGCACGTAGGGGGGCCAGGAACCCCGAGGAGATGCAGCGGCCCAGGCCGTGCGGTCAAAAACCCTAAGAAGGACACGCGGCATGGACGCAAGACACTTGGGAGCCGAAGTTGGAACTTTTGGGGCGGCGGACGACGAAAACCCCAAGGACGCCAGAGCAAGGAAGAGCAAGGACGCAAGGGTACCCTGAGCAAGGTCGCGCGTCCTTATTCGGGCTTTTGACTGTGATGTCCATCCCCCTCGCCGTCACTCTGAGGGGCGACGGTAAGGGGGGGACAAGCTCGGGTGGGGAAACATCGAACTGGAATCCGAGATACATCGTAGACAGAGCGGCGATATGCCCACGATGACGAAGTCGCGCGATTGGTTCCAGGGCGGGGTGGGCTCGGCGACGAGCGGGCGACGGGGGGCCTATGCGTTCCCCCCGAGCCGATCCCCGCGTGACTTTGCCCCTGAACCTGATCGGGCAAGAACGGGAAACGCCGCTGTAGTCAAATGGGCGTATTGGGCGAAGAAGACAAGGAAGGCGAGGACAACGAGGAGCCGATGACGAGGACGACGTTGCACCTGAATCCGCCGACCCCTTGGGGATCACCGGCGTGTGAAATGCTCCCCCCTCCCCAAACCCCTCCCCCCGGAGCCCGGTCCGGTCGATCTGGAGGGGCGCGGGGGCCCGTCTGGCCAGAGCTCACCTGGGGGATCCGGCCCTTCCCTGGCTCTGTCTTGAGGTCCACGACAGCTTCTGGGGCCGCCCAGGAGGCCCCCAAGACGGTCCAAGAGGGCCCCGACGTCCAGGATGGCCCCCAAACGGACCCAGAAACCTCCCAGACGGCCCAGGAAGCCTCCAACAGCATCCCCAAGAGGGGCCCCAGAGGCCAAAATTGATGAATTCCCATGGGAAAACGTACATTTTTGCCATGCACGTTTGTTCGGCCTCCACGGCGTTGAAGACGACCCCAGACTCCCGCAAGACTGCCCCAAAACGGCCCGACAGGTTCCCAAGAGGCGCTCGAAACGGCCCAAGCGGGCGCCAAAACGGCCCAAGAGGCTCCCAAGACGGCCCAAGAGTGCCCGAAGACGGCCCAATGAGGGCCCCAAGAGGAGGAGCCTGAATC